TTCTGCAAGCGAGTCGGGCGGACAAAAAAAAGCTGATTCAATAACTGTATTTTTTAAATTATCTCCGTGCTGTAAGAATCATGCTTGATCAATTTATTTTGGATCCAACTCCCTTCAAAGTGGTGGTAGCTTGGTAAGCATGTTTAGATTTCATGGGCCCTCAAAAGTGGTCTCTTAGGGGCTATTCGGCGTCATACTCTCAAATTCGTAACCGTATCGCATGGTAGGATGCGCCCATAGAATAAGGGCAGGCAGTCAACTGAGGAACTGAAATTGGCGACATGTCCCATAAGAGAAGCTTGACTAATTTTTGCTATAGCGCGTAAAGGTGCATGCTGAGTCGCGAAATTCGATTGTCAGAACCTATACATATAATTAGTATTTATGTCTAAAAAAAGATATAATACTTCTGTTATGTTCCAAAGTCATATTGAGACAGACGAAAGCCATAAACCTATGCTTCAAGAATTTTGATTAAGTGCGTCTAAAGGAGTTTTAGTATGTAACTTCAACAAAATATTGCAAGCACTCGTACTTCCAAGAGGTTGGCATTACTTTCCGGATGTTTCGACAAGCTTGCAAACTGATGAAAATAGCATTTTGCTGGGTTGCAGCATGCATAGTACAATCGCGAAAATATTGTGCTCTTGACCGCCTCCCGTGCGCAAGGGCTCTTTGTGCGCATTGGAAATGATATTCCAATTAGCGCGTAAAATGACATCGCTAGGCCGAGTATTAACGAGCGTCATAATACTGAGCTCTAAAAAAGAAAAGGTGTCGACAGCTCCTTAGTTTGCCCATTTCCTATTCCGTTTCAATCATTTCTGAACTAGAATCAGTTAACAGGGAAACCTAGCATGTCTTTCAGAGGTAAAATAGATTTAGATATTTCTTCCAAGTGATAACATCAGCAAACTTTTGATTTCAAGGATTTGGTTTTAAAAAATCGCAAAGCAAGTTGCCGAATCCACGTGTGATGTTAAAATAACGACGATCTCATATCTCATAATCTCACAATCCAGCAAGAACTATGTAATTCTGGAGGGTAAGTTGAATCTCTCTGCTTGACTTTGGAAACACAGCTTTGAAAAGCATATAAGCGGGTTTTTTGAAACAATTAGAAGGAAAAAAATGGAGTTTTATTTGATTAAACAGTGTACATACGGACTTTTTTTATTCTGCAAGCTGACTCCAAAACAAATTGGAAGAATACCTCTGTTTATTTTCTGGATAAGATGATATGTACTCGCATAGAAACAATTCGGCAAGAAAATTTTCAGATCATTTTAGGGCAAGAACACTAGGATGATAGAATCGTAACAAAGCTAACAATGAATGAAAATAAAAAACAATCTCAGCTATCACAATGAAAATGAATTGATAGATGTGCGTAAATGTCTGCATG